TAACACGGTAAAGGAAAAGAAATGAATGAAAAGAAAATAACGGGGTAGACAAGAAAAGAAAAACAAGACAAGGAAAGAAAAACAACAAGGCGAGACAAGACAAGACAAGCCGAGATATATAAGACAACAAGGGACTGAAAAGAGATAAAGAAAAAAGAAAACGATAAAAACGAAAAGGGCAAGGGAAGGGAAGAGATAAGGCTTTGCATACCTGCATTGAACAACGATAGATTTATTGCCTGACTGCTGTTGTGACCATTGCAACATTTCAATAAGATCCAACACAGTTCTAACATTACTTGGCACAGACCCATCACTCCAATCTGTGTGCTGATAGTGTCTTACTTCATGGACACCGTCAGAACCACACTGTAAAAAATATATATATATTATAAACCATATTTAAATGGCAAACTGAGGGTTTCCAATAAAATATTCCAGGGATTCCAGATGAGCCGTGAACGCGGCGCGCAAAGCATGAGTGGACAAAATGACCGGCCGTAAACATTTTTGGAGCTTGAACGGAACGAAGCAAGCATGGCGGTAAAGTTTAATTGCTTTTTTTAATTTTTCCTTTCCATCTTGCTTTTTGTAGTCACATATATTATATTTTAGTCTAAAGAAAACAGGAAAATACACCAAAGTTGGGTTACAATAGCCTGGGAATTAAGGCCTGCGGCAAAACATCTAAACGCACTGTGATTGGCTGAAACAAAATTCACCGCTGAGCTGGTTGGTTTTGGTTGCAGAGTGAGTGAACGAGATATGTTAACTTTTTTTCTTCCTTGGACCGAACTTACCGATTCACTTGTCAAGGTAAATGTGCGCAAAGTTACAGAAGTCTTTTCTTCTTCTTTTATGGTATCAACTATGATGTCACCATACTGTTGTGATACTTCTTGGGGCCAATACTTTGGGTAGTTCTGAGACAAATTAGACGGCTTTAGTTTTCGTGTAAAACCTACATCTAAAATTAAAAGCTCAAGTCTTGTTTTATTTGGATATCTTCGATGGAAATATTGAATATTCAGCTGCTAAAATCGACCAAATTTATTTTGACTGATTGAAGGAAAGGTTTGCATCCTTCCCCTTTATCAAATTACGCGACCGGCTGACAGAAGTCTTGGATTCTCTTTTGTGTTAACTAATGATTTATACTCAAGTCAAACGTGGGACTTCACATGAGCCGAACCCAATTACATCAAAGAAGAAAGACCATTGTCATTAATTATTTTAATTAGGTTCGGCTCATGTGAAATTCGACGTTTGACCTGAGCCTTAGAGTGCTGTAAATTTGATGGACAAAAGCCTAGACCCCAAACATCTTGCATCAAAACTACTTATTATGAAAGTAAGTATAAACAAACGGTATACTGAACTACAGTACGAAGTAGTGGTACGACATACTGTGGTCATTCAGTTATTCATCCAATCACAACGCGTAGTTACGGTAACAGTAACGTAGACGGTTACAGCTACAGCTCGACTACGAACTTTCAGTATCGTTTCCCACTCGGAAAAACCACTTCAGTATACAAACTTAGTGCTATGCTGATAGCACTAAGGGTATGTTTATAGTAATGCATATATAACACAAATTATATACCACATTCCCCTCTTGTAAGTTATTCAGCATAACAATAGTTCCAAGTTTATTGTCGTAGATCATTCTCCAAAAATCAGCGATGGTGGTGTCGAGAGGAGCCTGGGTCAAAATGTAAGCGTTCTTATGTCTGTATCCCTGAAATGTTAAAGAGTCTTTGATTAGTGTATTGTTATAGCATAAGACTCAAGACAATGGCTTGTAATCGCAAATTACTAGGGAACTTTTATCGAAACCCTGAAACAACCTCTGGGCTG